AGAGAATTATTATCTGCGAATTACTAACATACGGTTTCGCATTACATCTACCTTCAGTTTAGCATCGCACTCGATTTAGTGGCAATTTCGGATGCTAAATAAAAGTCTGACTGTAATTACAAATAAATAAAAAAAGCTTTTAATTGCAATTAGTAATTATTGTAAATAAATACTGTAAATTCCATTTTGAGCTAATTCTATATAGACTAAGTTATTTGTAGAAGATGGTTAACGATGAAAACGAAGGCTATATTTAACTATACTTTTTCAAAATGAATACTTCGTTATTCCCGACATTGGTTTATTTTTTGCTAAAAATTAAGTTGTTTCTCAGATATATCGATTTTTGCATCTTTCATCTTTTATTCTCAGAATTGATTTTCTTTGGAATAAAACGAAAGTCACGGAAATAAATTTCGGTAAACAGGAAAGATTGCGAAAAGACAGGTAACAATGATAAAATTTCAATATCTTCTTCAAATGTAACTATTGTATACATTTATCGTTTTTAATGGATAAATATCTGATCGTCTTTTAAAGCTGAACTCTTCTTTTAAAAGTAATTATAATAATCTTCATTAAAAATAAAGTAATCGCTTTATACATATAGTATGACGCTTAAAATAACTTAATGTAATCTATATTAAATTATAGTCAAACCCTCGATGTAACGTCATTCAAGTAACGGGCCAACGAATACACGAGATCGGATCTTCTTGGCAAATGATTAAGTAGAGATCCTTCGATATCCACAATTTACTAAGTGCACGTTGTTGCGTTACAAAGAATTTTATCTGTAAACTATCAGACCCCGCCACGCGTNGTAAAAATTTTTCTGAAATTTTGGCTGAAACAGAACTGAAAATAAAGTAGAGCATGTCTCTACTTTTTACGCCAAAATTCCTCCAATAAAGAGAAGTCTTTCCTGTGACGTCAAAGTAGACATGTGGCTTTTATTCTAACAATGGTGGCAATGAGGGTTAATCCTACAATTGTGACGGTCTGGAAAAATAGAGGAGTTTATTGAATCCGTTCGACCACATCAATATCATGTATAAAGACACTGTATTTTAACAACATTTATGGATGGCTACAGGTGTTAAATTACAAATAATAGGCAAGTCTAGTAGAATCGATATACAGGCCTAGTATTTAGATCACACGTTCTTTATTTGAATTCGGAATACAAGTCTATTAATTTAAATTTTCTATATTATAGCAGAGGAAGTGGAGAAAAAATGGAAGGTACAAAGTGATAGATAGGCTGTATGAGAGAAAAAAATTAATAAAATTAGCACTATTGGTGGCAGTGGTGTTTCCTATTCGGCCAGAATTTTTACGTGTGTTCTGACATAAAAGTGAAAACAGAAACTGAACTGAAAGCTAATTTCTGATTCAGTTTTCTGCCACACAATTTTACGCATGTGTGTTCGTGGCCTAAAGGTCGCGGGGACAATGAGATTGTGGAGATCGTGTGTCGTATCTCGAGTAGAGTCGGACTTTAAAATGACGGTTTTACTTGTTATTATTAAACTCGTCCCTACCATCAAAATTAAGTTTTTCGCCATTTTAAAATTAATACTCATTATTAAAAATATTTTATATACAGTAGATCCCCCTATAAAACCGTTTCCTATAGTTATGATTCCTATAAAAATTGTGGCAGTATCCGTAAACAATAACTCCTATAATACGTANTATCTTTTAATTTATATGAATGTTTAACGGAATAATATACAGCCTGTGTCCACCCGAAGTTCTATTCTAAATATTGGTGAAAGAATTTTTGAAATCGGATGAGTAGTTTCGGAGATACATCCAAACTTACTTACTTACTTACTACAAACATTACCTCTTTATAATATTAGTATAGATGACGTGACTTACAGTATGTTCGAGCCATCGACAGTTATATAGGCTACTTTGTGTTACTCGGGTATTTCCGTTTAGCACCGCGCTCGATTTTGCGCCAAGTTTATAGAGGAGAAAACGGCGTTTGACCGAATATCGAAATTACGATTTAAGCATTGAAATTGGAAGGTACTCCGCTCTCTCGTCTCTCGATGACATTTATTATTATTATTTTTGTTTTATAATTTAGTAGAGAGTAGCTAAAACAAAACCTGGTGACCGGATCGATACCGGAAATAGAGTAACTCGTGCAACACAATTATAAACTTATCTCGAATTTAGCTAATAAATAATAAATGCACAAAATGTATTATATATTAAAGCGCAGGGGAAATGTGTCGAGGACGACGTACTCGTGCCTGACCTACAATACAATCGACTTTCATTCGTACGCCAGGCTATTTGTCGGTATTAATAACGCCGGTTTGAAATTATTGAAGTTTAATCACGTTAGTTGACATGACTTAATATTGTTTTAATTTGTACAAGTTTTTATTAAACTAAAAATTATTTATTATATAAAACACGTTTCTGAAACTAGATTTGAAATTCTAAATGACATTCGTCGTGGCCAAAATGCAGATGGGTTACTAATTTTCCCCTAAATTATTGAAAGTACTCTACTTGGCAGGAAGAAAGATCATCGACGATCCGTACGTTGGTATTGGAAAATGGTCAAAATGAATACAAATCTGGCAAATTTACCGCTGGAGCAATAAATATAATACTTTGAAATATCTAATGAAAAGATATTACGGAATTATATATGGGAATGAAATGCCATCCGTCGATTAAGAGTAGGTGGCCGGTGCAATTCTTTAAAGTAAGTTTTAATAACGAACCGTCTTAAATTAATAGTAGTCCATTCTTTTTGGTCTTCTAATGACAAACTGCTCGTTAGGCGTAAAATATTTCCATGGTCAAACATAATATTCTTCGTAATGCACTCGTTACGTAGCCAATAGTTTTCGTTAGAAAGAAGAAAAATAAAGACATTTTTGACAATTTACAAAAGTAAACGCAAAAGAAACCGAATTCTTTACATAAAATTTTCCGAAAAAATCCATGTGTAGCAATTTTGCAAAACAAAAACACTAAGCGTTCATTTTTCTGAATAAAAAATGAACCGGTAAGATAATCGATGGGAAAAAAAATGGGGAAAAAACGATATTTATTGTAGAGATGTGGCCAATAAGCGAAATCAAATTTACGCAAAAGCAGGCCCACTATCGATAAATCTCTTTCCGATAAGTTTTGCCAATTTCCTCCACGTACCGCGTTAATTACGCAAACACCGCGGCAAAATATGTAAAAAAGTTTTATTATAACGAATGTTACCCAATGCCATATTATTTTTTGATGAAGAGAAATTTTAGGTTTGTTTGAAACGTTTTTCTGTATTTCGGAAGTTTTGCCGATACTGTATCTCTTTCTTTTCGCGGAAATGGAGTACTATATTTAAATTATAAATTAGATCGAGATAATACAAGATGTTGAAGTCACCGTGCACTTATATATTTATCAATTAACAGACAAGTTTCAATATAGAATACAGGAGGAGGCAAATACGAATGACAATTATAAACGATGCCAAAAACGACCCCAGTTAGCCTCAGTACAGGTTGGATTCTTACTTTGTTTCTAAACATCGCCATCAGTTGCTCGCTTTAAAGACTGAGTGAATGCTGTTATCGCTGCTTTCGAGTCATTCAGCGTGAGCGGACGACCTCTTATTCTCTGCAGATTTTCCTGCTTCCGTAGATAAAAGTCTGGAGGATTTGGAACTGGTGAGCCTGGAGGCCACACGTCTTTCGAAATAATGCGAAAATATGATTAGAAAGTGCACAGTGACTTTCCGAACACCCTGTATAAAGGCATGTTATAATTATATCGTCAATCTTTAACGTTCTAGCTATCTCTTATTTAAAAAAATATCGATTTATATTTTTCCATTTGTTAAAATATTGAAAAATTACGTTTTTGAGAATATTCATAAGGCACATTCATTTTCCGTTTTGATTAAAAAAAAAAATTACTTTTAATAATTAAGAAAAAGAAATTTGCGTGTGGCGCCATCTGTTAGGAAATTTTGTTAATAAACTTTTTATATTTTTAATTGCTATAAAATAGCAAAAAGCTTAATTTTGAGGATAGGGACGAGTTTTATAATAAAGTGAAAATAAACATTTTATTCGTTATTAAGTCCTATCCTACTCGAAATACGACACTCTACACCCCTTTACTCCTCACCCTCTCGACCTTTAACCACCAAAATTTAATAGCGTCAATTCCCCTTATATACAAATCACCGTGCCAAATTTCGATTCTTAATCTTTATTCCGTGCCGAGATATTAAGCGAAACAGACGCGAACAAGCAAAAAAGACTCCAATTGTCAAATTTGATACGATTCCAACACTTGTTATTTACACATAACAGCCGGGAAAGTAAAAATAAGAATGCTTTGTATAACAAATTTTCCTCGCGGATTTTGTTTATTTAAGCGAAATTAAGCTGTAAAATATTAATCAATCTCCGTTTAAACTTCAGAAAATCGCCGGGCAAAACGATAATTGATTAGAATAAGAAAATTATAAGCGCCGTAATTAAATTTATTCCCATATCGATTTCGAATACCTTTCGTCCCAGAGAAATGTCCACGGCCAAACCCAAAACCAGATACATTTTCGCTGTAGCGGCGGCGCTTCCATACTCCCCTCCCGCGGCTAAACGTCACCGGATTATGTCGATTATATCCAGAACCGGAACTGGTAAAAGCCAGAAGACATTAATAAAGTAGGTTATTAAAGTACAATTGCATAAAATCGGAAATCGAGTGGTCTTTGGCGATTTTTGGGCGTAACGAAGAATAACCCGGGAGGAATTTTCGGGTTTGTCGGCGGGCGGATAACTGGAAGGGTCCCCGGGCGAAGGCGTATTTTAAAAGGACGGTGTGGCTGCGTGTGGAATGAGTGAGATCGAATGTTCGTCGCATCATTTTACTGTAAGAGTGACGATTTCTTAAAAATGTCGTTGTTTGATTATTCCATTAAAAGAGAAGGGGCACGGCGCGTGCTTTTTCTTTTGTAGCAGCCGACAGACGGGATGCGCTCCAAATACATTTAGTAATTTCCGCCGGCCAGTCTCTAAGCTCGGACGAAATGGAAGAAGAAACGGCCGGGTCGGCTTCGGCCGCCTCAGAAGAAGCCAACCGAGTGTCTCCGATTAAGACTTCTTTAACTCACAGATTTTTTCACCCCCCCAAGTTGGAGAGGTAAGAGAAATTCCTCCTCCTTCTTTACGCTAAAAACAACTTTTCTTCATTTTCCCACCGTCTTTTAAAGCCATTTTGTCGAAAATAAACGATTCGGCGGTGCCCGGGCTCCATTTTTTCGTTAAATGTCAATAGATCGTAGATAATATTTATCCCCGCTCTTTAATTAATACCTTACGCCGCGACGTAAGAAGTATTAGTTACTGCTGTTGGCGTGGGAGGGGGTAATTCGCGGCTGCACCCTTCGGGTAATTTTTAATTAGTTTAATTAGCCAATTAGTTAAAAGTAGGTAAAATTTGAAATATTTCCAGAAAAAGCTAATTTTCCGTAGAAGGAGAGAGTCTCGACTACGTCTTAACGCATTTTCCCGTCTTTTCTATTTATAAAAGACGTGGACAGTCCGATTGACGATTTCGTTCCTACCCGAAAATAGAAATGAATTTTCCTACGAATTTACGACGGAAATATTTTCCTCATTGGTCGTTAGACTTTCGCGCTTCCGATTCTTTACTTCTCTTTACAAAATTTTATATTAATTACTAATTTCCCATTCGTTCCGATTTAATTGAAATCTTTTGAAAAACGAATTTAAATAAATCTATGGTATTATATTTACCCGGCGGTAAAATAATACAAATTATAAAATACCGTACTCGAAAAAAATAATTATCGGAAAGAGGAAACGATAAAATATATATTTCGATTTATTTTCGTACCGAAAAATTGAATTCCGGAGAGAAAATGAAACGTACGCGTCACTTTTCCCCGTCCTTTACGGTGGAAAAATATCGGACACCAGATATTTTACGTAATTCCTTTTATGTAAATCGAACACCTATTTAACTGGCCAAAGGCTATTTGTTTTCCACCCCGAAGGTACGAAGACGGACATTCCCCGGATTTGTCTTTAAATATACAAAAACTCATTTCGGAAAACCAAATTTCTTTGGCGTAAAATTCCGATACCACCGATAACACTGGTTTACTTAAAAAATTCTGACTTTGATGTGGCACAATTTGAGGCTGCCGACACCAGATACGCAATGGGAAATATCGTATCGCGTGGCGGTTTTTCCACAATTGACCTTTATTCATTTACGCCAGTTTCGGTTACCCGCCGATAGTTCACAAACTTAGTCACACATAACAAAGTGTGTAAGTACTTAATCGGGCAAGAACTTTCTCTTCTCTGATTTTCCGAAATAGATGCAATTGGTAGTATTAGGCCAAGACTCCACTAGCGTAAAAACTTTTAATCACATGACCTATTTGCGTGTGAGTCTGGATTGCGGAGGAGGTCCGGCTAGCGAAGTTTTCACGGCGACGGTGCTACCACAAGTGTCAATTATACTTGACTTCACGTGCGAAGAAAGTAAATACCTCTTCGCACGTGAATTGGTGGAAACGAAAGCATCGTAGTTTGATTGTTCATAATTGTCAGAGTTTATAAAATGTTTTAGGCATCCATTCTTATAGTCAGGATGTCTCTTGTCATATAAACATGGATATTTTCGATAAATTTTTATAAATCTATTCGAGGTCTTTTCGAAGTAGCCATGATAGAACGTACACAAAAGGTTGTTTCCCGCAATTTTCGCACAATGTTATGATGACGTAGTTCCACTACTTCTGATTGGTTGAAGGTACCGTTTTACGGCCGTATTCGCATCGAAAGTTGAACACTGTTCAACTCGCTTTTACGCTGGTTTTACTACGACCTGCTCAGGCATAAAATATCATGGTTACGTGATTAAGTTTTACGCCTGTTTTTACACTAGTGGTCTCTGCCTTACCCCGTGAAAGACCGTCGACAAAGTTTCGACCAGAACCTCGTTACAAACTTTCTTGGCAACTACATCGTAAAATACGCACCAATCAGCGTTCACGGTGTAAAAGCTGGGATAATGATACGAATGAACTTTTACACCACGAACGGCGTGAAGGACGCTTAGTGTGCATTTTCTGATCAACTCGGCCAGAGTGAAAGGCTTACACCCAGTTTCGTGACCCGACAACTCAATCATCACTACCTGTATTTGCGGGGACACTCGAATCTTCGTTGCTCGAACTTGCAGATTTGCTGAATATAGGGACAGGTATTCTATTAGTGAGTCTTCCGGCAGAGTAAGTTAGTGTATCTGGCGGAATGTCGGGACTTTTTATCCAAGCTTAATTCGTTCATGTACAAAAATAGCAGTGGTCGAGACACGACTTTGTTGCTCTGGCCACATCATTGAGATTTTTTGAATCCCCCATGGTGCGGCCAGAAATCTCCATCGCGGGGAAACCCGATGCGATGGAGAAAAAATGGACAAGATTTTCAGGTTCTGCACCTTCGAATAATAGGTCCAGAGGTCGGCAAACTCCATGTCGACCAGTGTAATTTGCCATCATAAAAGAGTTTTAAAATCTGCGTTTGGCCATTTGGATTTCAAATTTCCATCGTAAATTATTTAAACACCGGAGAGGCTAAATCATTCAATTATTTATTAGTCATACAGGTGAAAGTAACTTAAAAGTAATTATTCCGACCGAAAGAGAGTCGTATTCAATGTAAAAATAGTAAATAATCTAAAGGAAAACTTAATATATTAGTAGGAAAAAACCCCGTAAAATTATTAAAACCGATTTATTTAAGTGCATCGGAGAAGATGACGTTGGGATTTACTTAATTCTGCCCAAAAATTCTATTTTAGTGGGAGAAAGAGGAAAACTACACGCATTTAATACTTTCGGTAAATATCTTTTACGTAATAACTACGGTATATTCTTAAATCGTTTTTAAATCTTCAAATTATCGCCTTCCGTACTAATTTCGATTAACGATTTCGTGGTACAAAATTCTTAGGTAAAGAATATTCGGCAGATCTTGTAAATTTTCATTATTATCCGCCGCGTACACTTAAATAACGAAAGCAATTACGTAAGCAGGCAACCGGGTACGTAAGATACGAAACGTCGAACGAAATTACTAGCTAATCAGATTTACTAGAAACAAAGTTTATAAAACAATTGACTTTAAAGCCGTTTAATATTTCGGGCGGAGCCTCAGTCCGTGGTACGTTGCTTTCGTTCTCCAAATTTCATCGACGATTTTCATTAATTGCCACCGGGATCCGAAAATGCCATAAAAAATATGAACACGGTGAGGTGGAAGCCATCGCGCCCGACGGAGTTTAAGGGGGGAAACCGGCAGGGCGCGCGCCTAGCGGAAAATCGGAGCCAAAAACCGACGAGACACAGAAAGGAAAAGCCATCGAACGTAAGGATGGTCTCTTCCCTGCCGGCAGGTGCCAGGAATCGCCTCTTTGCGGCGAGTATCGGGATGACTTTCCGGTGTGGCCGGCAACAGTTTTCTTCCCATCGCTCGCGCGCGCGCACACACACACACACACAATCTCCACACTTCTGTTTCGCACACGCCAAACACGCAGGCCATTACGTAGGCAACGAAACACGCGTCGTCGCTGGGGTTAGAGAGAGCGAGAGATAAGTCTTAAGCACTAATGTTAATTTAAAAATGTTTTATTACGAAATGCCACGTTCCTTCGATTGTATGGCCGGGGAGGCAAAGCGCGCTACGTCCCTGGCTATTTAGTAAAAGCGGGAATAAACGGGCTACTTTTAACCCGGCGGTAAGGAAAAGCATTTCGCCTAACGACGGGAGACGTTCCGCGCCGTCGGGGCCTTAAAACTGCTAACGGCAGTTTTGATGCCCTATGGGCGCGGCCGGAGGCGACCGTCTCCGAGTAAACAGGCGGGCCCGGATAACCGAAAAATTACTTACGGCGGGAGAAATTTACCTCCGACGGCTGGAGTAAATCCGGGTTATTTATAGCAACAGGTAGGATTAAAAGGGAGGCGTGGCGGGTGGGGCCTAACGATTAGAACGGACGGCGGGCTAAAAAATGGAAATAAAGGTTCGGGTGCGGATGCCACAGATAAAGAAGACGCGTTCTTTTCTTGGCCGGAAACAGAAATAAAATCGGCGGCAGAAAACATGCGCGTTGGAGGCTCGGAGTCACCGGACGGGCGGGAAAACGCCGCCATTAGAGAGACAGGTAGCGGACGAGATTGGTGCGCGCGGCGCGCCCGGCGTTAAAGGATGCCCGAAAATCCATTTTACGGAAAGGAGGCCATCAACAGTAGCGCCTCGACACCGACGTAAGTACTTTAGGCAGTAAGTAGACCTCGCCTTTTCGCCGGGAAGGGGCCGGCAGCTATTTTTGAAGGAATGCGCCTCCGCCGACTGTGGTGGCTTCTTACTTACGTCACCGTTTAAGACCCGGCGGGGTTAACTGCAATTCGACGCTTGGTTTTTCTACCTGTTAACTGTGGTTAAAACGCGTTTAAGGCTGTAAAAGAATATATTTTAACGGCGTTTGTGAAAAAGGAAGGGATTTCGGGGAACGAGGCCGGACGTTTCTTCGAAGGATATCGATTCAGATTGTCCGGATGCCTTAATTTTTCCCATCCGTCTTTTCCCCTCGTCTTCTCCGCCCGACAACCGAGAACTTATTTAACCGTCGTTAATTTACTCGCCGCGCAGACGAATATTACAAAAAGAATAATAAGTATTTTTAGCATTTTCTGCGCCGCGGAAGAGCGTCGTTTCGGTAAAGATCGTTCGATAACCTTTGGTAAAATGAGAGTTCCGCCCGCTTAATACGATCCGACGCCGTCTTTCGCAGGCTTATCACCCGAAAAAAACTTGGCGGAGAGTAATTTTAATGAGAGATTTTTCAGGCGGCGGAAGTACAACCCGCGTCTTCCTAACCGCCACCCGCCCTAAGGACGTCCCCCCTTTTCTTCCTCCTCTGCACCACCAAACGTCTTTATGCTTTCGAATTCGGTGACGGCCCCCGCCCAGATTGAAAGCATAAAGAATTCCCCCATGGAGGATTCCCCGTGGGGTCCGTTATTCTATATTCACAAACTTAAGTGCGTGAATATAGAAATCCGATCGGCGGAAGGGAAGAAAATGCGATTTTTTGCGGCCGCATTAATTTTTTTAAATATATTTGTATTATAAAATATTTGCCATTTTGGCCGACGTAATAATCGTCTCGGGTAATTTTGCAGGAAACACAGCAGCGGCGACTTGCACAGTCGACTCAAGACCAGAAAAATACTCGGAGTGGGCGAAACGGATAACGGAGACATTCACAGATCCAAGGTACGATGAGGATTATTTTTACCCGGTACTTTTGCACCTTTTCTTTAATTAAAAAATATCGTCGGTGCGCCGGTCGGAAGCCGGTGGATAAATAAAAGGTCGGGCGTCCGCCGGAAAGTACTTTTCCTCATATTTTTTCGTTACGTTTTTAGAATTTCCTCTTACGTAAATAAATTTTTCTATTTAATTTTTTAAGAATGTACAGTATTTTTGTTTTTTTCCGGCAAATAAAGGGAAGCGGTCTTCAACTCCGCGCGTTAAATAACAACTAATCCGCTTTCGTATAAAACCGGCGTAAAACGAAAAAATCGATAGCTGGGAGATTTTCCCACGGTTAGATTTGCAAATATTTTAAAACGAAAAGGTAACGAGTACGACAACGTTAATTGGAAAACGGGTGGTGGGATGAACCGGGTCGATCCACCCGAAGGGATCGATACGGCAATCCTCGGACGACAAAAACGTCGCTTACCCCATCGGTGGATTTTTCTCCCATAAACATTTAAAACGTCCAGTTTAAAATTTCTTCCCCCTAATCGACGTAATTAACGCCGAAACTTTTAAAAACCCGATTTCGACTTCTAACGGGAGTTAAACGACCGTAAAATATTTTTCCGTATATTGTCTTCGTCCCCGGTAAAATTTGCGGAAAGCGTTTCCTATAAAATTTCCAGTTTTTAAATTAAAATTTCGAAGTAAAGGTAATCCGCGCAGAGCTGCATCCTAAACCGTTTTAATAACCGTCTCGCACACTTTCCAACATTTCTCCCCCCCATAAAATACGTATGGGCGAAACGAAACGGTCTTTACTTTCGGTTGAAAACGTGCCGGAAAAAATCTTTTAAAGTTTAATTATCTGCGCGAAAGGATGCGGAAACGGCAATAAATATTAAATCGCACCTACGAATAATCTAGTATAATACAGGCCGGTATACAAAAGGGGAAAAATGCACTCTCCCCCTTACACTATTCCTACAGCGGCCGGAAACTTTGCGGTAACGATGCGAAGAAACCTTCTTTTCCCTGTTTACGGCCAGGAGTAGACAATTTATGTTTTGTCCGGCGGCCTTAAATAAGTTCGCGGATTTTTTTTCGATAAACGGTATAATTTCCTCTTTATTTTTTTCTTAAATAATTATTTATTCTTTTTCCGTTTGGCCTAGATGATAACCCACTGCCTTTTCATTTTCAGATCAGCCAACTGCTGGGACATAACGAACATCTTTACGTCAAATTTCCCCGAGGATATTGGGTGTGGCACATAACAGCGGCAGCGGTCTTCACCTCCGCGGGAGTCGCGGTAATTATAAACCTTATTTTAAATACGTTAATCCAGTTTCTACCGATATCTTCCGCATAACGTTAATCCGGACGGAAAGAACGACCCTTGCGCCTCTTCTTTTCCTCCTCCGATCCAACACAACCTTTGAAAAAAATTTTTCTTCTCCAATAACCATCGTCTCCTCCCAGCTTAAAATCTGTAGTTCGGTAATCTTAGACTTTTTACACAATATTTGGCCGGGGAAATCGAGGATAGCTGCAAAAATAAAAATAAAAATTAATTTTTATATGTAGGGAAGTTCGACCGGGATTCGAAAGAAGCCGAATCACTTTCTACTTCCGGAATCATTTTGTATTTCTTAATATCCGGCCTCCCTGGACTCTACGGTCGGGGAATTGAAGTAGCTGGCGCGGGCTACCCGTTTTCCGTCCGAAATATTTTATTTCGAATAAATCGACTTTTCCGTAGAAAATTATTCCTTCCCAAATATTAAGTATTAATGCCGCGCCGCGAATCTTCCTTTACTATGGGATTTTCACAAATTAATTATAAAAACGGCAGGGAAAGAAGGAAAAACACTTCATGCGTATTCCCCGGATCGATAAATAAATTCCTCTAGAAATTTCTTCCCAATCCGGATTAACGCATTTCAATTTAATAGGATAACGTTGTAACTACAATATTTAAATACTAACAGAACCGACATTCTCCCCTCCTAAGACGTCCGTTACGCAGCGCGGCGTTACGTGTTATAAAACCGGCGTTTGTTTATAACCAAAAATCATTTGGTTTATACCAATCCAAAACTCGAAAGTTTTCTCCGGCAGAGTGCAGACGTACGGACAGACGGCCCAGCAACCCACAAAGTATTAACTAGGGTTTCTCAAACGGGATCCCGGTTGTTTTTTTAACCCGGGAAATCCCTCAAATTTCTTAAAAATTCACTTTTTTTCTTATTTTGCGTTAAGGTTGAGGAATTTTGCAAATAGAAAGCATAATTAACTCATTCACTGTCAGAATACATTTGTATTTATTAATTTTAAACCTACCTATTAGTTTTTTTTAAATTTTTGCTCGTTATAGCATGTCACAAATGGTCAATAATCAATATATAGCTTATTTGTGGCAGGACTATAAAAATTCTTTACTTGTCGGAACCTGTAATATCTGGAATAATTGTGCTTA